CACACACACACACTACTACACGTACGTATACTATATATATATATATATATATATATATATAAATTCATATATACTGATATTCAAAAAGGGTTTGCCTGAACGGTTCGCAGTGCCGATGCTCGGTCATCTACCTCGTCTGGAGAATCGTTTAGCAGAGATTATTTAATACATACTTGTCCTACCAATTCACAAGTTTTTATATATTACATTGTTTGCGTGTGTTTGTATACATAGATATATGGTGTATCACACACTTATAGTCTCAAGCTAAGGTGGTTGTCTCCTATCTACCGCGTGCGTGTCCTGCAGTCCAGCCGCATTCTGATACCGATCATCTGTACACCTAACCATGCGCAGACACGAATTGATTTGACGGACAGACGTCAGCCCGGTTTATTTAAACGCAAACGCGTACGAGTTTCCCTTCCATATATGTCCTGTTAATCTTTTGTCCACAATCACATTGCGATGGTGTCTATTAAATATCCTAGCAAGTCTGTTCCACTATTGAGAGTAGTCTTTCCATCGAGATGCGGTTGGACATACACATCTGTACACACGCACGCACACACACAAGAGCTACCACATGATGTATGAAGATGACCTCCATACTTCTGCCCATCCCTACCAATTTTAGGCGGCCCGGAAAACGAGCCCTAGGACAACGGCAGAGCAGATAACATACTATGAGACATATGCCAGTCGCTCAGGCGTACGGAATGTGTAATAAATGCCTTAGTGCTATTGACGTACTACTACTATAGGCCTCACTGTTTATGCATGTTTAGGACCGATTGATAGGACATGATCTATTGAAGACATAATTTTCAGTACGTTATTGTGTACCTTTGCTGTTCATGCATAGATAGGACGGGATGATAGTATATGTACTGTGGAAAACATATATCTAGTGTACTACGATATACTTTAGTCGAACACATATAAAAGGTTAGGACTTAAATAGTAGTATCTGCCCTATATCTGACAGAATATCATATGAAACTTGGGTGTGTGTTTGTAGCGGCTATAATTGTTGCACAATGCCATACTCGTACATAGTGTAATCGGTGTGGCTGTGCTCTGGAGAGTAGGGTTGGCAATAGGTGTTGGTAATAGTCTCATCGACTTAAAGCTATTGCTCCGGGTCATGACATTTAAAACCATTTAGAAAAAAACCACTTGTACACCATATCAAGCGACATGAAATACATAAATTCGCTATGTTGACTATTCTGGTATTGAACATCAATGCTCGGGGATAAAAACATCTCCTTGAAAGTGGATGTATGTTCCGAACATTGCGTTGCTCTTTTTTATATTAAGTGTTTTTAAAATATGAGCTCGGAATTGGAGTGTAGTTAGTGGTATGTATTATCGTATTGACTATCTATTATTAGTCGGATAGTCCTATATACGGACAATTTATTTTATCACTGGGGAATGAATATTGATCTCTTTAGAGTTTGGAGCGAGTCTGCCGTCTGGTCTCTCCCCACTCCCCAGAGACTCGGAGAGTCCACTAACCAGTCACCACTGTCGCCAGTATTGAAAAATTCATAAGTATGTAGTACATTCTAGAGAGCGAGAGAACGATATAAATACTACTCTAGAGAGTGTGTGTAAATAAATACTATAAGACTATAGACCGGTGGTGAAGACTGGAGTCTAAAGACTAAAGAGAGCCTGGTAGTGTAGAGAAAAGAGAACGTCAGACTTTCAGTATTGAGCATTCACAGTTTGTTTGTTGTTTCCACGGCTCTCTAAATTGGGGTCTCGAGCGGACATCAAGTTTCATCGTCCATAGACTCGTAGCGGAAATCGTGAGTATATTTAGCAGTGGTCTAATTTAGGAAGCTATGCAATGTAGCACTAAGCACAGACCTTCTCTCTCGCAGAGTAGTAGCAACTCTACTAGAGAGACTGTAGAGTGTATAGACTGTACGTATGTAGAGTCGTATTCATAGACTGCAGCCAGTGTAAATAGAGTGAAATATTTTGAATACAGGATGGTTTGTTATAATACACTCCTCGCTCTTGTATGTTAAACTCACACAGTTGTCGCATTGTCGCACAAACGCAAGTCGCACACTGACGCAGACTTGTTTTTAGTGTTTGTTTGTGTTTTTAATATATATATATATATATATCGTACATATAAATAATGAGTGCAAGTAATATACTCTAGAGAGCAGAGAGAGAGGATGCCGAAATGAGAATTTTATATATATTGACCGCCGAATGCCGATATAAATCAAATATCATGATGGTACATTTATCATTTAAGCCTTATGGTAAGTTGGTGCGTATATGTATGACATTGACTGTAAGTCTGTATGCTCACTATGCTGTATTCAAACTTATTTCAAAGTATGTATGTAAGTGTTTACTGTTTAGACAATAGACTACTCTATAGAGTATTGATACTCCATTTCTATACATTTGTACTATGTAGGCGTGCAGGGGCTAGTAGAGAGTGTAGGCGTATGTACTGTCGCACACACTTAGCCAGTTACACACTACACAGTATTAACTATTGGGGATTGAGTATGTATGTATGAATTTATAATTGTATACAACTATTATATTTACTACAGTATAGAACTATAGTGTAGATATTATACTATACTAAAGGTACATGACTCTACTTTTTCTATGAAAAGTCTCAGTTGTGCTAAATAGTGTAATATATTATTTAAAACAATAATAAAAACAAAACAATAAAAAAATACATTAAATTTCAATAGGCAGCTATTTCTGGAGTGGACGAATAATATCGATTCCGGGTCAAATATGAAATAACAATCAAAAGAACAAAAATATACATTCCGTCATTTCGGCCCAGAACCCCAGGCCTCACCAGTGGCCCACAGGGTTCGAAGTTGTTGACAGATATACCGCATTTTACCGCCGCCTAATTTTCTAGCTAATGCTGTACACTATATAGAGTGAGGCATTCGCTATGAACGTATCATAAGAAACAGATAGTATTGCCTCATCAGCAACTTCTATCTCTCCCAGCTAATCTATATAAACCTTTGTAGTCCTCTTCTTCATTAACTTTGGTCAAAGATGGCCCACAAGCACGATATGGACAGCCCGTCATCGATCACTTCACGCCTACAGTCAGGTCTCAATTTGATCTTCGGCGCATTTATGATGTGCATCATATCAGTAAGTCACACGCTACAAGCTCTATTACATATCATATGCGAACCGTTGCAATTGATATCGCTTCCATTACACAATGCATCTCGCATTATGCTGTTGCGCTTAGGATGGTCTCCTGTGTTCGCGGGTATGCGCTTTGCGAATATGCGTTTAGTTGTTACGGGCGACCATGACGCAGTAGCCATGTCTAGTGCACAAGACTCAGTCTATCTACCATTAATGAATGGCGCGTGCAAGGGTAAGCCACCCAAAATGGTGATGGGGAATCATCAAGTGTATGCCGATACGTTCATGATCGGATACTATATGCATACATTAAACCAGGCGGATGGAGGTATGGTATGGGCTCTGTGGAAAATATTCAGAGCTGTGCCATTGGGGTGGGCATCCTGGGGGTCCGGTCACATGTTTCTCGGGTTTGGAGCTGAAAGAGACAAAAAAACTATGCAAGAAAAGATCAAGACATTCCCAAAACGGGAATACACCAATCTGTGCTTTTATCCTGAGGGCGGCTTGATAACACCTGTGTTGCTGAACAAGGCCAACACGTATGCCGAGAAGAACGGATTGCCTGTCATGGAAAATGTGATGCTCCCTCGGACAGTCGCATTCACCCAGACCGTAGCTGCCTTCAAGCAAATTTGTGGACAGGAGCAAGATATATTTGAGAATGAAGTGATCTTTCGTCGAGAAGGTGGTATGCAGAGTCCGAAGAGTGGTATTGAGTTGACTCCCGATGGTGACGTGATTGATATTACTATAGGATATCCGAAGAATACCCCATGGGGCCGTGGTGATTTATATAACATGCTAGACTTAGTCAAGTACCACTCCGAACCAGTTGACGTACATATGCACGTGAGAAAATACAAGCTGTCGGACGTGGGTAGCACAGAGAAAGATATGATCAATTGGCTGTATGCTCGCTGGGTGGAAAAAGATGAACTAATGCGTGACTTTAAAAGAACTGGCAAGTTCCATGGTGAGGATCAAGTTAAAATAAGTTTGAGCATGAATAGAGTGCTGAAGGATTTGGCTCTTTGGGCACCTTTTATGGCAGTGTTTTGTGCTGTGATAGGATTTGGAGGCATCCGGTTTGCATACATGGCCAGTACCGTCTTCTACATGTTTATGGTGACGGGTGCAGCTGTAAGTGCAACAATGACAGCTACAATTATTATCTGGGTGAGCGGAGTCTGTGCGGCAGTTGTTGCCGCAATGTATGGGTTCAGCCCATTGCTTGCAGTACCTTTAGGTTTGATTCCGAGCAAGGTGTCAGAAGCAAAGTAAAATCTTAATGAGTTTGATCAATCTTAGTATGGCATACAAACAGCGACAATGCTCTGTAAGAAGTATATACTAGCTTGTCAACTCGGCCTGCCGGATTCGGCATACCCGCTCAGCACATCTCGTTGCGGACAACTGCAGGAATATAACACAACGAATCGTAAAGCAAGAAGCATGCTTTGAGCAATAGTCAGGCACCCGAGTGTATAGTTCTCACCAACGGTTTCGAAATATGGTATAAAAGTACGATGCGAATGTAACGAAATTAATCCAAGACACAAATGTTTGTTTCAATAGTAAAGGAGTTGAATACATTGCCTATCTGACTCATATTAACAACCTTCATGATGCTACATGGGAAAACCACAGCAACTAAAAGTCGAAACAGTGAAACCCCACAATTGTATCACAGCCGATAGAAAATTAATCCATGAGATTTATAATATATTCATACATACATACATACATGAACATATATAAATATATATATATATATGTAGGTATATATATATATATATAATTATATATATTAATATTTTGAAAATAATATAACAATAATAATTATAAATTAATGATAATAAATAACAATAACAATAATAGTAAAAGTGATATATATATATATATAAAATAATAATAAGAATAATATAAATATAGTATATATAAACTATTTAAAATAATATTATATAATAATAATGATAAAAATATATATATATATATATATATATATAGGCATATGTTTATGCATATTCATACAAATGCGTAAATATACGTGTGTATGTAGTACATTGTATATATGTTAAAACAATATATTTTTCTCTACGAAGCATTGATAAATTCATATAAAGGCTGCTGAACAACTCGGGTTTACAGTTTAGAGATTTCCTCCAGCAGATCGCACTGATTTAATACACACCGAAATACAGGCTCTTTATTTTTAGCCTTAGTTATGGGCATTGTACAAGCGACCACTGTCAAGCTTCGCATATGACGCACCCCACATCTAACTTACAACTTGCCTTAATTAAGACAGTGTCAACATCAGCCATCTCTTTACCTATCTAGTCTCTGATACTGAATGTATACTTTTGCTGATATAGTAATGTTACTGTACCTTCTAGCCTTTTACTAGCAGCTGTCATCCTTTTAGTCTATTTACATGTACAGTGTACATTATAACCACATTCCATATATCAAATGTAAATGATCTCTAATTGAATTAAGTATACCTTATGATCTCACGTATTATAATTCCATAAATATGTGCTTAATACCTCAGTAGAGTTATTTTCACAATGGAGTAAATTCCTTTGGACGGACTGAATAAGAGTAACGATATGTGCACTCCATGTGTACGTATTTTACTATGACCATATTCCAGGTCAGGCAATAGTGAAATAGGCATCTACAGTTATACAATATACACACCAGAATTTTGTCCTGACGACACATTCTGATTCAAAATTGAGACCGAAATGTTATGAATAGGTGCTCTTTTCAGGTCACAATATACAGGTCAAAATATACCAAAATACGTTGCAACGCTAAAAAATATTCCGTTAAACGTTGAAACATCAACTTTTGCCAAACGTGATGAGGTTAGCCCTCGTCACAGAGAGAGAAGAAAGAAGAAATGGCTGAACGGACTAAAGTTTGTAGGAAAAATATATATTTCTGGAAATACATCAGCCCAAAAATTAAATCCGTGTGACCTGTCTACAAACGAAAACGTTTAAAGTTTTACTTTACGGTCTCGAAATATACGTTTTTTTTTTGAAAACTTCTAACAGTAAATATGAGAGTCTGAGTCTCTGAGACCTGCAGGCTGCAGGCTGCAGTCAGCCAGACTTCCAGTTTCTATTTTTCAAACAAAAATCAAGTTTTACTTTCTTTTGCAAAAATACAGATTTGGCTAAAAACCCTAAAACCCTTTTAAAAAAAATACAGGAGTCCAGCTTGGTGCCCTCACTGCCCTGGTCACGGGCTCCTCACTCTCATGTTTAGCAACTCACAGGCCACAGCCCACAGAGTACAGACTCACCGGCCACAGTTCACGTTCCAGTGGCACCGCGCCCACACTCCAGGCCTCTACACAGGTACAGGGCTGAGAGCCTGAGGCCTGAGGCCTGAGGGCCTGATCCCTGACGCTCGAGGGGCTTGAGCCGGGGTCTTTTGCTGTACGCCTATGCAGTGAGGAGTTAATGACTAATAGCTGAGGATGGCTGTTTAGGCGACTATTGCATTTTGGTCAGTCAGTCTGTCACGCTATTTACGTATATAAAGGCCCCTATCCAAATTCGCGTTTGGTACGAAAAAGCCAACAAAAAGGCCCCTTTAAAATAAGCTAAACCAACCAATCAGAAACCTTTGCCATCAATTTTTTTAGTTCGGCAGGCGTGTACGCCTTTTAAAAAACGTAAACATTCGAATCCGCAACGGATATAATTAGGTTCAAATGTAAAATGCCAATATATTGGAAAAAATTGGCGGTACGCAAGTCCACCTAAAATATTCCGGTCTTGTAAAAAAATTGACCGAAATCGTGGTCCTGAAGTGTGGGCCCCACTCTCGTTCGTAAATATAGTATTATGTACATAATATTACCAGAGGCTTTGTATTTCATCTAAAGGGGAAATGACATGATAATATGTCATCCAACATATAGTACGATACTTTCGTTTCCATAATGGTATGATAATGTATCATTCCCCTCCCCGGCCTCAACATTTATGTTTTAAGCTCAGCCTCTGTATACGCAGTACGTAGTGGGGGTTTGGGGGGGGGGAGGAGGGGGCGCAGCCTGTATACAAGAATATTTTTTATAAAATACCAATAACACTTATATCTTCCATATATTTAGATACATTAACCCTTAGAAGGTTCAAACTGTGAATAAATACGTGATCTGATCGGTGGGAGAGGGTGGGGGGAAATTCAAAATAAATCCTGTTCTCTCACCCATTTTTTAATGTATGTCCCCTATGTACCAATCAAATAATCATTCGAAGCATTTGATCCCTTCTTGTACGTGCATTTATATATACACCCAATAAAAAAAAATTACGATCAGTATATGTCTGTAGAGTGTGTAAGTGGTTCTTTGTCTTCCTTTCTGTTTACGAGTATGTATGTGTGTATCCGTGTGTGTAAATTATGTACGTGTGTGTAATAGTTTGTGGGTACATACGGTTTACGCACATGTATGTGTGACTACGAGTATGTATGTGCAAGTACGCGTGCGTCCTTTGTCTCCTTGTGCGCGTGTGTAATAGTATGTGGGTACATGCGGTTTACGCCCATGTACGTGTGATTACGAGTATGTATGTGCAAGTACGCGTGCGTCTGTTTGTTTGCGAGCGTGTATGTGTGAGTGAGTGCGTGTATTTGCGTGTTTGGGTTTGTCTCTTTTTCCCCATGTGCACGCACATGTCTTTACGAATATGTATGTCTCATTAGGTTCAATAAAAATCCTAAAATGATTCTAATCGAAAAATTTAAAAAGACAAAATACACAAAATACAGGAACGAGACAGAAAGCGATTGCGTCATGAACTTGTGCCATGTAATTACACTGTACAATATCACGTTGAATTATACGAGTGTATACAAGAATAGTCTTATATTTGTGCACAGTTAAATACCAATAATGTTTAAATCTTCCATATATTCAAATACATCGACCCTTAGAAGGTTCAAACTGAGAATAAATATGTGACCTGGAAATCGGTGGGGAGGGAGGGAAAGAGATCCAATGTTATATCCCCCATTAACCAATCAAATAATCATTCGAAGCATTTGATCCCTTCTTGTATGTACATTTATATATACATCCAACCACCCATTCGCAATGGCGACAAGCGCACACACTAACAATTAAAATTAATGCGACCTAGACATATAGAATTTGGGTGAAATATGTGACCTAGACTGATTCTAATCGGGTAAAAAGCTTTGTGTTCCGTCCTAAACTACGCTAAACTTCCAACACATCCCATTCCTAATTTTCATTCCCGCTTCAATTTTTCCTTTTCAATTCCAAAATCTCAAATGTATAATTGTTTACAAAGTTAACGCGAAGAGACCTAAGAACACAACGCCTTCGGTCCCCGTGTCGTAGACATGTGTTATTGTATTTTTATTTAGTTTTTTGAGCAATCACATTAAACCTCATTACGTTTCTCGTTAAAACGAAAAAAAAACATAAAAATAGGCGTTTACGTTCAAGGTTTATCCTAAATATAGTCGTTTGGGTTTACAAATAGGTACGTTTTTTGAGGTGGCCTAACTGTCACGAATTGTCCTATTTTTCACTTTGTGTCAGTTGTGAATAGTTTCAAATCGCCTTTTCATTCAAAAAGTCAATTTCTCAAGTGCAAGGTAGGAAAATTTCATAGTCGATTTGCCCCCGATATACTTTAAAACGCTTAAAAAAAACAATACCTTTTACGTTTACGTATAAAGTATATCGCATATAGGCAAAACGTATTGAGCTTAGAATCACCTTCCTAAATTTGTTGATTTTCTGGGAAAAGAAGCCAAAATTATACTCTGCCGAATCGCTGAAAAGTGGAAACGGAAGAGGTTCCTGACTCTTGAGTGACTAATTACTCCGGAGCGAAAGCTAGTTTTGCATTTTTTGAGATTGATTGGATTCTTTTCAAAGGTACCCAGAGACCAATAGGATGTATTTCTGATGGCGTTTGGAAATTATCCATAACGCCACTTCTCTACTAGAGTAGAGTGCCAACTGTCGGTCTGTCGCCAGCATACAGCCGTAAGCCGTAAGGCGTTATGAAAACAACACATACGCTCGAATTCTACATTGTTTTATAAAAAAAATCGCGGCAGGATCAGCATTTTTCTAGAGAGAGTGACCGTGGGCGTGGGGTGTGGTGGATTGGTGATTAACTGGTTATTATTTTTTTAATACTTTTTTGGTTTTGTTATTTAAATTAACAAACATAACTTACTTTTGTTCACGGCAGCTGTGGCACAGTGCAGGTATTTTTTAATAGGTACATGTTGTATAGAGAAAAGAAAACCAGCGAAAATATCATAATAATATTGATAATATGTACATCCTGTATTTCTATTCTCTTTTTTATGAATAATTTTGACTATCTACCAGTTTATAAAAAAAAGTATATCAACTTGAAGATTCTGCCTTTTTATTTTTATTAAAAAAACCCCCATCACGCCACATCATTGTGGGGCTGCTATATAGTAAATACATAGATGTAGTGACTAGCCGATCCGTGAGACCCAGTCTGCCAGTCACCCAGATCAGTGTTTCACACGCTGATAAATGCTTAGTGGTTCTGACTCTCTCTCTCCAGTGAGTCCAGTCTCTCTCCTCTTGTTGTCGTGTCATCAGTCTATGACTCCTGTGTGTGTGTGAGCAAAATTCCTTATTGGCCTGTAGGCTTTATCGCAAGTTCCGTGCCTCGCCAGGCGCCATCATTGCGAGGACTCGGGAGTCGGCAGGGTTCCCCTTATTAGGCTTTTGCAGAAATGACTGGCATAATTGTTTTGGTTGTTTTGATTTAAAAAAAAACAAATTTAAAAAAAATCGAACTTTCGAAAACGGTATATTTTTTAAATATATAGATATACGTTCATAGAGATTATTTCTCTAGTACTCGTAGAGCAAGAGAGAGAGATACTTTTTTTATTTTAAATACTTTAGTATTTAGAGAGAGAGAGTGTGTGTGTGTGTGGCTCAGTGCGTGTCTATTTCTAATGACTAACCTCCCCACATTCCGATTTCATTTAAAAAAAAACATAATCATGTGTTCACTTAAAAATATTGTTCTAATTTAGGAGGCTTTGTATATATGTGGCTTTGTATATACGTAAAGGAATATATAAATATACATATATATAATTATATATATATGTGTGTGTAAACATTCGCAAGTGAGCCTTAGTATTGAACTCGATCATAAAATATATTCAGAACACCACATAAATCTGATTCGAACATTTCTAACAACCATTATGACATCTCATATAGGTCTTAAGGGAGCTTGCCAGGCTTGTCTCTTGTTGCTACTTTTATCGTTATCAGCGGTAACGAAAACAGTATCAGCTCAAACTGCAGTTCCTGGTATGTGTACACTATCCTTCCAATACCAAAATAGTTTGCCGTGTAAACCCATTCTGCGAGGTTTCCGCGGTCTATGTTCACTTCCAGTGCATTGTTTCTGAAGCATTTTTCATTTGATCGTATTTTCCCAAGCCTCTGACTCAACCATCAATTCAATTATATTATCGCACAGATTGCTCCGGGCATGGAGAATTGTCACCACAGGGGAGTTGTATATGTGAGGTAGGCTATACAAATACAAATGACACCCTCGGGTGTATAGAGACTAATGCGATAGAAACAATAGACGATGTTAGCCTGGGCAATGACTCACAGACAGTAGATAGTATTAGTGTGGGCAATGCCACAGAGACCACAGACGTCAATGTAATTGAGACTACAGACGATCATGACCATGAAGATGAAGAGTCTAGTGTGGGCGATGTGGAAGAGTCAGCTGATGACCATGACGATCATGACCATGCCGAGGACGAAGACGAGGATCACGATGAGTGCAATAGCTATGGACACGTGCATGATGGTGTGTGTGAGTGCTCAGCAGGGTATTCTTCTGTCAACAGCAACGGGACTGCTTGTGAATTGAGCCTGGAGCCGGAGTATTTCATGAATACTTTGATGGATGAGTACTTCAACACTACAACGGAACGCATCTACATCGAGGGCATGGATAAACTTATAGCTAGTCTAGTAAGCGCCACCACCGCGGCTGTCAGCGACGAACCGTGCAGTGAGAATGGGCACTTGGATGGTACTGTATGTCACTGCGATAGCGGTTACACACTCAGTGCAGACGGTCAGCAGTGTTTGAGCAGCACTACCAACGTGGAGGTCGACGACGAACCGGCAGTCGTCGACGAACCGTGCAGTGAGAATGGGCACTTGGATGGTACTGTGTGTCACTGCGATAGCGGTTACACACTCAGTGCAGACGGTCAGCAGTGTTTGAGCAGCACTACCAACGTGGAGGTCGAAGACGAACCGGCAGTCGTCGACGAGGAGTGTAGTGGGAATGGGCACTTGCACGGTACTGAATGTCACTGCGATACCGGATACACACTTAGTGCCGATGGTCTGCAATGTACTGCGGCGAGAAGGAGGAGACAAACTACCGATGAAGTAGCATCTCCTTGTCTAGATAGTGTGTCTTTGTTTGAATTATACAATATAGACCCCATCGATGGCGCCACAGCGGCCCAGTTTGCCGCCAACTTCAGTCCAGCGATTGTGCAAATGATCGACAGCGGTGCGTGTGTCATTGCCGTAGAGGCTGGCGCCAGCACAGTAGTCACCGATGATACACCCAGCACGGGCCAGGCCTACCTCTATGCCATGTGCGCTGTCTTAATCATAAGTTTGACCTCATTGGGCGGTGTTTTGGTCATCCCCCTCCTTCTGAGAGCTCCCAAGGCCGCGAAGTGGGTGTTGATGTTTCTAGTTGCCCTAGCAGTTGGCGTGTTAATCGGTGATTCCGTCATGCATTTGCTACCCATTGCTTTGGGTGTACACTTTCACTCGGATGATGGCAGTCTCGTAGTTCTCACCGGTAACGAAATGATCTACCGCACCATGACTGTATGTGGTGGTATGTTCTTCTTTGTCTTGATCGAGGCCGCTATGGATGCCGCTGGGTTGGGACACGGACACAGTCACAATGTGGCCCCCGAAGATATCATCGACTTGGGCCATATGCACGAAGAAGATTCAACTACGGAATCCGAAGCGTCGTGTGGCCACACGCACCAACACGGAGTCGACGGGCGGGTTGACAATGATTCGGATAGCAATGATGAGACCAAGATTTCAGATGCGAACGACGATACCCTACATGAAACGACTGACAAGCTCGCAGGACGAGGAGATTCTAGATTCGACACGGTTACCATAGGCAAGGGCGATGAGGAGAGTGATGGGGAGAAAGGAGATAAAGTCACGTTCAAGTCTAAGGGAAAGAGCTACCCGAAGTTCACAGGCTGGGGTAATGTGGACAATGTTACGTGGTACATTACAGTTGGCGACGGCATTCACAACTTTGTTGACGGTGTGTCGGTGGGTGCGAGTTTTGCTGTTAGTACTTCAACGGGTATTTCTACCGCTATCGCAGTTTTCTTGCACGAATTGCCTCAGGAATTCGGAGACTTTGGAATCTATTTGGCATCTGGAACGGGTCTCAAGCGTGCACTTGCCTTGAACATGGGCAGTGGTTTAACTGGTTTGTTGGGCGTGGTGCTGGGTATCCAGGCCGGCCAGAATTGGACTCCATGGATTCTGGCATTCACAGCGGGTATGTTCATTTACATTGCGCTGGTGAGTATGTATCCACAACTGAAGGATTCTTTAAGGGCCAAGAATTCGCCCAATCTTTCCAATCTGGTGCAGATGACAGCCATGTTGATCGGTTGGGCTATCATGGTGGCTATTGCCTTCGACGAATCACACTAAAATACACTTGCCCGTGCGTGCGCACGAAGTTAATTTCAATGTCCTCGTGTGTTGACGAATGGTCGTGACTACCTAATGATTAGATACAAGCAACAAACGATTTAGAGCGAGCTTGGAATAAGATACTCATTCAGCGTATATAATAATTTAGTTGATATACATATGCAAACTTTTAGATGCACATATTTTACATCTGAATAAAAAAATTTAGCTAGAAAAGTATAGTTGGCGATAGCATCACAAGTTCTCGTACATTCCGTTCGCACAAAACCGCCTCAGCCATTGATCCCAATGGTCAATGCTCGAGTGTCGGCAGTGATTCAACAAAAAAGTAATGTCTATCCCACCCAGCCCTCGCATACAGACGCGCCGGATTTAAGATATATCTGCTCTCATCATATACCCCATATAACAAATAGGAAAAAATCACACTAAGTCCGTGAACAAGATGCAATTTAATAAGTAGGGCTTGGGAATATACATATGCACAAAGGCATAGATTTGTAGACTCTAACCAAACACGAGTAAATCTGCAAATACAGGTAGACCACCACTACAGCTTTATTGAAATTACATGATCGAATGTGGATTTGTGCTCATAATTTAATTTACGAAAGCTCAACCGCTTTCTCGAAAAACATTGAAAATTTAATATTAAATCCGATACCTTGTGCGACTTTATATTTTAAATGAATATACTGTGCGGTTTGATATAACTAACATACTGTGCTTTTCAAATTTGCTGCTTTACAAAATGTATTCTGATTCTTGACAACTCCAATCAGTGGTTATCGTAAACAGTCTGACTGATATAGCCTGTACGGAGAGCGTATGTATGTACAGTTTGCAAATTCATACGTGTATCATCATTGTCTTTTGAAATTGTGTGAGTGGAGCGCAGTAGCGAATATGCTTGCATGCGTCAACAACATACCAGCACCGCTACGAGGCCCTTTTGAAAGAATATATATATATATATGAATAAATATAAATAAATATAAATATATATATATATTTATATATACATATATATATATATATACATATATATACATATATACATACATACATACATACATTTATACATATATACATACATACACACACATATATATATATATATATACATATAAACATAAATATATACATACATACATACATAACTACCGTACATATAATCTGTATTTGTGTGTGCATATGTATTAGTAACAGTTTATTGCGTAAAGCATAAACTCAACAACAATGCATGTATCACTCACTTGACATAATATTGTACTAATAGTACTGTGACAAAATTGCGATTATACTGTAAACATATATTATATTTATGTAAGAATACAGCACTACGTACTTTTCATACAAAAGCTATTTCGCACGAACATTAGAACACAACTTGCATGTTTTTCTTTCCTGGATGCTTCCGTTCTATTCCACGCAGCCGTACAAGGTCTAAAATACACAGGGGTGTAGAAGTCGATCCACTGTTCAATTCTAATACCCTAGCAGTAATGTGATACACACTTCTAGCAATATGGTATACATGTAATAAGGATTGTTGCGCTTAAAATGCAAATAGCATGTAAATACATATGTATATAATAACGGACTTTTTCTATTTTGAAGATATATTGCTTGTTGGATTCTTGGTGCCAGATCGAGGCTCTGTTTTTGATTTTTGATTTTTTTTGTTATAAAAATAAACTATAAAAACAAATACATTTTATAAATTATGTTCAATTTTTGGATTTTCAGAAGGCTTTCAAAAAGAAGTCAAAAGACCATGAATTGTTTAACCTTTAACCTTTTAAGTAAACACATTTCTAATGGTACATCGTTTAACCCGGACTCCTTGAGATCTGTTCTATGGCGTGTGTCCGTTAAGTTTCTCCAGCAACCGCCAGGCTAGGCAGTCAATTTAAAAAGCAATCAAATGAGATTCTAATATGTAAATACTAAAGAGGACTCGAGACTTTTGAGGACCAACAGGATCTCGATAATATGGCTAGGCTAGTAGACACCTCTCCTCCAATAGACTCCATGAATGGTCCCTGACATAAGTCACACAAGTCCGAATTTCTGTGAGCCACCTCAGTACTGCTTGAGAGCCTAACCTCAAACCGTCAACCGTTAAAACTTTTATAAATTGAATACATATACGTTTACGTTCAACTTTTATTTCAAATGCGGTCCTTTGTATGCAAATAGGTGCAACTCGCGGGTCTTAACATTTAAGTGTGTATCCCCCATAACGTTATGAGCTTAGGCCTGAGCCCTGAGGGCTGAGGGCTGAGGGCCTGAGTCCCTGAGCGCACGAGATCCTTTGAGACGTAATGACTGATGAGCGCTAAGACTCGCTCGAGAGTCCGATCTGGAGTGTCCTACTGTTTGACAGTCTGAGACTCTGAGAGTGGTCAGACTGACTCTGAGGGCTGAATTCACAACATTTTGCTTGATTTTTGTAAAAATTGTCTGTCTTCGACAAAACATCAACCAATACTAAAAACAACCCAAAACCAAAACAAAACCGGAAAAGAAGAAACCGTTTCAGTGTATCTAAAACGTTTTAGATATTCACTCCCTTGCTCCACTTACGAACAAAAATGGAGCAAAAATGAGATGTTTTGTATTTGCTCTTCTTCGCCAGAAGGACTCTATAATCGGGTGGTGATTGCAAATTGAAGGGAGCGAGGACTATATATTTTTACATACAGCAAGATTAAATTTCGGGTTAAAAAAAAAAAGACAAGACATATCTCAATGAGTCAATACACACATAATATTAGGCATAAATCATACTTCGAAATTTCCAATTTTATGGTGTATAAACTGTATATACGTACAGAGTATACTATGGTAACACGTAGGTGGCGACTGTAGGTGGCTCTTACAATGGTGGACAGTGTAGGTTGCTCGAATTGTAGGTGGCGGTTTAGGTGGCTCTTACAGTGGGTGGTATCAAGATTTCTCGATGTTTGGTATTTGTGCAAACAACGAGTGTCCGATTTTTATGTTTTCAGGTCTCTTGGTTCATATTTGCCTTCTTTTTTTTCAAATATGGTGGCAAATTGTTACGAATTTGAAAATTGATTTTTTCGAACAAAAAAAGGTGGCAAAAAAAATCAATACAGTTTTATACTCTTGTGGTGTTGAAATACTTACTGACAAGCAATCACATATAATATATACACAAGTCAACACATATATTGATAGTTTATTTGACTTATATACAATGACAATAGAAGCCCACATGCCCAAATATGCCACCCCAGTGCACAGTACTTCACTGCTAAATGATCTCTGTCGAGTTCTATGACTCAGAATAATGACATTACAAAAATGCGTGTTTAGATGTCATATAACTCTATGATTTATTTATTATATAGATCTTTTACCTTTTTAGTGTACATAAACCAAGTGTAAGCTTTATATATATTCATACTTTGTAGATTACTATGCTACGTCGCGCATATGTGTTGTGCATACACAAGGACTGTTTATCAATGTGTTTATAACATGGTATCAACTATCGTCACACATACTAAATAGCAAGCTATGTCAATACACAATAATATGAAGTATTTAAATATGTGGAAATGTAGGAGAAATAATAAATATGAGGAAAATATATAAGAGAAATAAAAAATATGTAACATACATTTTTTTTGGAAAAATAATAAATATGAAACATCACGAAATATACTTTTTAGGAAAATAATAAATATGAAATAAATATGCCATATATTTTTCACAGATATGGCATATTTTATAAAATAATAATATTCCTAATTTTAAATATGTACATATATTTGTATTTCCTAAAATAATAAATACGTGTATAAAATGTTGAAAATAATAGTATGCGCTTTTACGTTTATTTGTATGTGTTCCTCGGTAACTCTCATCCTCGGAAAAAAAAAGGGAAATTTCACTTTTTGTTTTTAAAACAACAACCAAAAAACAAAACAGACGACAAACAAATAATAAAAAAGAACTATTAAGTTTTATGCTGACATGCCCCCATTTCAAACCGTTAAAAACAAGAAAGTGTCACTTCCAAAGCTGCAGGACTCAGCCCCATGCAACAAATTCGTGTTCGAATAAACCCAAAACGTAAATAAACCGTTAAGCGGCTATTCAACCACTCCCTGCTGGCTGTTGTCCCACGCACTTCTCTCTTGTGCACCTGGCGCCTGGCACTTACGGACCCTCCAGTAATATAGCTTCATCGGATAAATATTATATATCGAATTATTGTTGCAATAAAAAAAAATATAAATACCATTTTTGTATTGTATGTATGTATGTAAAAGCCTTTTTACCATACATATTCAATTATGGAATAATACACAAACGTATCCAAACAGACATATAAGTGGATATACACTCAGCTGAGTTCATTTGGCAATATTGATAAACCTCGTGACCTCAATTGTCTACAGGCTACAGCACTTAGTGTAGCACGAAAAGACGCAACTCTATCGTTATCAGTATTAAAATACTAGTAGTATTTTAGCAACACCTATTTATATTACCTCGAAGTCCTCTGAGGATTCTTAAACCACAAATAGGAGCGAACCTTCTCCATACCACATTGCCACATCTCAGCCGACTCAGGTGGGTCCTTTATTTCCCCCAAGTCTATTTGGATACTGAATATATA